CGAAGTTCGGGCATCCCGGCCCGCTTGCTCGCGTTGCTAAGTCCGTGCGTCTGAAGTAGGATCGACTCCTGTCTCACATGCCCTATACTTTGGGTACTGCCCCCATACAGTAACAGTCTATGATAAGGCTATATTACGTAAGGTCCTCATATATGTATATATTTATGAATATTATCCACTGTTACTGAGTGGGGGCAGTACCCAACCTATACTGGGATTTTAAGTAACCAGAGGGATTAAAAAAGTACAAGTTTTGAATTGACATAATGGTTCCTTTATGAAAAAAGTACTAAAGTATGGTACTCCAAAGCCCAGTATATGGGTTTAAATGCAGTCTAGGATTTGTTTTGGGGGGTAGGATATAGGGGGTGTTGGAGACTTGTTCTCTGGCCTTACACGGGTTGCGTAAGCCGTTGTAAGGGGCTCTTTAAGTTAACGCACCGTTGTATGACCTGCTTTTATCTCGTGTCGCTGAAGTATCAGGGCCTGTATTGAACATGTTCGTGGGTTTTGTCCTTGTGAAGCGGCCGGGAGTTTTTCCATGGGGCTTGGCGAACTAGGGTATCGTGTCTTGGCTGCACCTACTACACAGTATACAAGCTCTAATGCATTACCTACCATGTTGTAAGGTTTGGAGCTACTGGCAGGATGTAGACTGCATGATGCTTCTTCTGAAACAAGTCTTACACAGGCATCCCACCATGACCCTACGGCTTCGGGTATCGCCACCGCTACCTTTGGTCCAGTTTGCTGGCTTTTATTTCGGCTTCGGACTTACCTGTAGTCTCCGTTGTAGTTCCCTTTTTTGGGGTTACCTCATAGGATCCTACATATGAAATTTGTTAAACCCCTGAAAAAATGGAAACTATAGGTTGAGTGGGGGGGGGCTTCGAGTTTGCGTTAAACTACTTCTTGGCAGTGCTCTCGGCATAAAAACGAATTACAAGCCCCAAAACGAGTCACAGCCTGACCCCGTCCAGTTGCCTGGACACGCTCCACTCGTGCAAAGGCTCGGGTCTTAAAATCCCAAGGGCCCAAGGAGAAAACCCTAAACCCTAAACCCTAAACAGTGCTGTGTTTCAGAGAGCCAGATCCCAAGAGCGAACAGCATGACGCCTAGAGAATACGATGAAAAGGCTTAATCGACACTATCGAACCTCTCGATAAAAGCAACTAGACAAGAACTTCCAAACGAACCCTATAAATCAGTTCTGGACCACCGAATTCCCAGATCCCACTGCGCATGTCCTCGCAGTGTCCAGAGCTGCACTTCTGAGGGCCAGCCGTGGCTCCTGGTTCAGACAACAGTTCCTTGAGTAGCTCCTGTAAGGATTTCTGTAGGGTTCCTGTCAGTTGTAAGGGTCCTTCGAAGCTGCTTTCTGCAGGGCTCTGCGGATGTTCTGCTCTTTCATGCTGTCGCGAGTTTCAGGGTTGGGGTATGAGGATCAAGCTTCGAGGTGTTGGGGGTGGGGATGTCAGGTTGAGGGTTTAGGGAACGTCAGGCGCGTTTTAAGACGTACGCGCCTTTGAAAGGTACTGTCGGGGATTCTGGGGTGCATATACATATGTATGTATATGTATACGTATATGCATATATGTATATGTTGTCCTTACACTGCTCGAAGGACTGAAGGCCTGCGGTTTAAGGGTTCATTACAGTTCCTTCAAAATTTGCTTTCAGGGAACGATGGGGTTTAGATGTTGTTTGTGTGCGTGTGTGGGGGGAGGGTGAGGGCTGGGCCCCAAGAGCATACTATGTAAGGCTGTGGGAGATGCTGAGCATCAAAGCTACATGCCGACTTTTCTGTTCCGATTGCAACGTGACCATTTCTGTTGGTACTCTGACTTTTGCAGTGTTGTTATAATGTCGGGTCTTCGAACCTGTGTGGAGGGCTGGCAGGTGTTGGCCCTTTAGCTCGTCAGGGTTAGGGTCCATCCATCTTCGACACTTGTAAGCCCGGGAAACGAGAAGCCAAGACTTCCGCGTCTAAACCGAAGTCCAAAGGGACAAGAACAGCGAAGTCACAAAGGACACAAGGGGAGTCGGTTTATGGCCTTGCAGGCCATGTGCCAACTTCCGTTAAGGGTGTCCTACTTGAAGCATGCAGGCTCCATTGTCAGTACTTCTTGCAGTCCTTGTTCCTACCACTGTACTTCTCCAGTCATGTTGACTCTTACTCAAGCCTTATTCTTAAATGCTTTGTGGTGAAACCAAGCCCATCCCCCAACAACCTGTCACATGGCTTTTAGTTATACTAGTTGATACCAGTAGCCTAACATAGAAATCCCGATAGCTAGCACTACCCAAGTCAGAACCGACCTACAATCAAACCACTCGCAACCAATCCCACATAACTGCGTGACTCCCGCAAGACCCATCATGTCCGAGAATGCCTCAGTAGCTCTAACTATATAAAAAGGAACTCTATAATTGTATCCGCAATTATCTAGCCCCCGTTTAGCCTCTTCTTCTTTGCATGCACTTGCTTCGGCTCGCTCCTCACGTTAGAAGGAGGTCAGCATATCTGGAGATCTCTTTAGTATCCGATATCTCATTGATAACAAGAACAAGAACCGTAGCTTCGCTCAGCCTTGTGCATCGCGCGATTACTGGTTTTAGAATTGCGATGCACGAGTCAAACAAGCCGACATCTGCCTCGTGCCAAACAACCCTGAGAACTTCCAAGTTGACGAAATGGGGCAGTGTCTCAGCCAGAACTTGCAGCTCCTGTAGAGGCAAATCATAGGCCTCAAGCTTCTTCCGCCGCTGGGAGTGCTTCAAAAACACTGCCTCTTGAAGTCGTACCACGTTGTGTAAATCATCACGATGCGTGAACTTCAATGTCAGCCCATCTTGTCTGCCCTCAAGCCCACGCTTCACCCGCTCTTGGAACATGGCCGGAGTCAGAGGTGCATACCCAAATATGCTGTCCTTGGTGCTCATCCACTGAACCTCCGCGATGCACCAGCCTCTTTGAGAATAGGGGACACGGTTCAGCGCCAACTCGGCGAAGGGACGTAGCTCCACTTTGCTGGTGCTCTCACAATAGATTTCAATGAACTTCGGCATCGGGAAATGCGGAGAGGGTGCAATGTCTTCCAAGCGGATTACGTGATAGATTGCTGCATGTGCGTAGAGCACGTGCATCGCCTTCATGGCACGGCTGAAACTGACTTGTTCGTCCTCTGTCCTTTGGTACTGTGGCAAGCAAATGTAGTCTATGAACAACCACGTTGAGTCAGGATGCATGAAACCTATACGTTCAATGCTTGCCCCATCCGACGCGAACCACCCAACGAGCTTGCTGCACTGAAAACCAAACGGGTCCGGATGTTGCTGTGCCTCCCAGCAATGGGAGATCGCGTAGATCCGCACTGGATTTTGGCCCGAATTCGAGCGATTAAAGGCTCCACCGCGACGAGAACCAACCAAATCTCCCCTGAGAGGGGCGGGGCTCGGGCAGAATGTTGCCTGCTTCAGGTTCTCGATCTCGTCCATCGAAACTAATTCCTGTTCCGCTTCCTGTCGACGCCGCCAAAGACGTCCAGCTGCATGCAAGTCCATGAGATATCTCAGGCTTACCAAGCGTATGTTGGCATCAATGAGGAACTGGACGAGATCGTGAGGCTTTAGCAAGTCATACTCCGGATCATCAGTGTGTGTGACCGCTGTCATCTTGTGTGATGGCTCATATGACACGGTGACTTCTTCAGAGGGTGTTGTGCTGGGATCGTTGGATTCGGCCTCTGAGGAACCACGGTCGCGGTCGGTCTGTCTGACGCCGCATCCGAAGCAGTCAAACATCGCAGCCCGGACAGGCTGCAGGCGAGAATCCAGGCCCTGATATTATTTAATAATAATAATAATAAGAGTATAATAATAATAGTAATAATAATAGTAATAAGAATAGTCATAATAATAGTAATAATAATGAAGTGACTAACACAACTTAAATGACCTGTCTCGCACTGGGTCTTGACTCACACAGATCGCAAACAAGCATAGTCGATGCAACCAACAACCGCTAAGCTCCATCATGTGAAAATTAGCTGAACTTTCAGTCAGAAACGAACCTCCAGATCTCCTACAAACTCTATAAACCCCTTACTCTAAGGCTCCATGTACCCATATAGTATATACTTAGGCCTTAAAGTACCTATATAGGGACTACTTTGGGGCTTATGTATCTACTATAACGGTACATGGAGCCTTTGGGTTACTCTCCACCCTGTACCCTGGACCGTGAACCCAGACCACAAGAACAGTTTTGATGCGCTCGCTTCTGCGGCTTTCAGGCTGCAGAAGTCGCTTCTGCGTGTCCCCACCCTTGGAGCCAAGATAGCCATACGTCATGCAGTCTAGGGTGCAGGGCTTAGGGTTTAGGGTTCCCTGAACCTGGTATGCAAACCCGAGAGTGCCCATGAACCGGTACCCAAGTATATACAGAAGTACAAGGGCGTGGGATGAAGCCTCCAAACCCCTCCCCATGCCCCCAACTGTAGCTTAAATTGCAAACCTCTGTAAGGATCCCTATTCAAGAATAATGGGTTCGGGGCCATAGGAAATGACTAGTCAAACTCCCGGGAACCTTTAATACATGCAGCATGACCTGTAATCGTGGCTTGGAGTCCAGCACAGGTATATATAGTTTGGATGTCGAGGAGAAAGAAAAGGCGCATAAGCCACAGGACCGAAACCCAAAACACTAAGCACAAACCCTGAGGGTCCAAGTACCCAATTATCATATACTCTCAAAAATAGTAACCTACATAACTACTATCCCAAACCCCATTGCCTTATTATTGGGTCCTTGGGACCCTTAGGGAAGTACATGGCTGGAGAATTTGCAATCAATCTTTGTGTTCGCAGTGAAGCCCTTTGGGCCCAAAGCACTTACCACTCACACTCTCAAGTTTGAGGCAGCAACCTAGGAGCTAAGTTGACCCCAAGTGGGTTTGTAGAACTATAGCAGCACTATGTAGCACCCATACCGCAGTAACCTACTATGCGGGCATCTGGGCTCTTAAGGGTAGTTTGTGTGGGCTAGCATTCGGGCTATAGAAGCCCTTATTGAACCCCAGCAACTTCGTGTGTACTGTGTCTTAATTTCTGAAAGAAAGCTATACAGACCTGATATTATAAAGTCTCCTTCCTATATGCACGCAGACATATACATACATGCATACATATGCACATGCATACATACATATATACATACACACATACACACATGCATACTTTCATACGTACATGTAAATGTATACATGTAGTGTGTGGGCATTTGTGTGTTTACATATATATCTACATTTTGATAAACGTGTATATATATATATATATATATATGCATATACGCATACATACAGACATAATCATACGGAGGTCAGCTTCTATGTCTGAATGCGTCCATGCCTGCAATCATATACGCATATGCATGCAAACATGTATGCATATATGCATGCATGCATGTATCATGGTGTCTCTGTGTGTATGTATGCATGTAGGTATATAGGTAAGTACGTATGTACATACGTATGTACACTGCATGTATGCACGTATGTACGTATGTATGACCTGAGGGCAAACGTGCTTTGGGTCCTTTGGGGCATCCGAGTCGACCACTACGCTATAGAACCCACAGCTCGCGCCTGCAGCAAGTGCCAGCACCGCTGCAATGGTCTTCGCCATCGCAAGAGAAGGCTCAAAGGCTCAGGATCTGTTTCGGTACAGTCAGAGTGTACTTCCAACGGCTGCGGCAGAGGAAGTAAACAGTAAACCATAACCCCCTAAATCCTAAACCCTGAGCCCCTAAAACCCTGCTTCAGGATCGAACGCTTGAAAATTAGTGAACTTTACGTTCAGGGTTGAGGTACGATCCTCGGGGTGCTAAACAGACCCGACAGATCCTTAATCTCTAAATTGAAAAATCCTGAAGCCCCCAACAGCCAGTATGCTCCGAACCAAGCCAGATATGCTAAACTCGAACCTGCTCTCTGCGGTTCGGCCTCTGACTGTGTGTAGCCTACATACATCAGCATCATAAGACAATAAAAGGCCATATGGGAAGGTCTACAAGCTAATCTGAGTAGCGTATAACCGTCTCACAACTCACAGCCCAAACTCGGAGATTACCCTAAACCCTAAACCCTAAACAGCATGTGGAGAGTCGGCGACCTTACTGCAAGCGCCCAGAAACAACGAAACCCTACACGCAAAGCCTGCAGCTTCAGGGTGTTCCTATAGTCTCCATTGTAGTTCCTTTTTTTGGTTTAACCAATTCTATAGTGGGGATCCTAAAAGGTAACCCCAAAAAGGAACTACAATGGAGACTATAGTGACTATAGGTTGCTTCCCGAACTTCAAAGCCTTTACGGAGCCGATGCTCCGATGAAGCTGCGACGAACGGACGGTACGGTCAAGCCCCCAGACTACTAGCAGACCAATCGCAACAGATTTTGCCGACCTGACCCCCCACCCGACTCTAGCCAAACCGTCCCGTGACTCCAAGCCCTCCACTAGACTCAACAAAAACGATCGCACCAAGTCGATTTCCTGCTGATTTTAAGACCTGTCCTATTCAGAGAATCTAGCAGAAGTCCCGGAGATCTCTTCACAGACAGAATGCCCCAGCTCTTCAGGATGAAAACCTCTCCTTCTGCTGAATATCTCAGGGTTTACGGTGCAGTGTTTACCCGGCACAACCTTAAACAAAAACCGTCGAACAGCAGGGATTGAGTTCTGTTGGGCAGCTCTGCAACCTCAAGGCCCCGGCACTGCCGGCGCCGCTGTGCGTCTCGTCCAAGATGGAGGGAAGCGACAAAGCTAAGACGGCAAACCTCGGTTCTAGACCGAGACAGGAGAATTTCCCCAATACCAATAAAAAGGACCAACATTCAAAACGTCGACTCCTTCAAAAAGGCCTGTCTTGACACAGTCCTCTTTGCGGGACTCATCTGTCGAAGCCTTGGGCTTACATGCCTGCAGAGCTTTTGGGGGCAGAAGTCCTGTGGATTTTGGTGCCTTTTGTATCCCTAAGGGTCCATGTACCCCTCTACCAGATACTTTGGCCCTAAAGTATACCTCGATAGGGACTACTTTAAGGCCCATGTATATACCATATAGGTACATGGACCCTTATAGGGTATTCCAGAACCACAGACTAAAGGGCAAAGCTTCCACCGCAGCGCTTGCCCAGAACCCCCGTCCCTAAACCCTGAAGCCCAAACGCCCGATGATGCGCTCAAATCAAAAGTCTATCACCCCTATATCTTACCTTTGGTTAGTAGGGAATGGAAGAATGGTAGGAATAGTGGCTATAATTGTACCCCACTACTCCATTCGCTACTAACCAAAGGTAAGATATGCCGTAGAGCTTACCCTTAATCCCGCTAAACTTTGGAGGCCAAAAACCCTCTGGGCCCTCTACGCACGAAAAAGCACGTACCAAGAGTTTCGGGTTGATTTCCCTAGACCGGCCAGTGCAGTATGCAGCTTTCCTGAATTTCCGACTTGGAGAAGACTAGATAGGGTTAAGTTTAGGGGGAGTCCAGCTAGCTACTGAGGCTCCCAAACACTAGACACGTATAGTAACCCTTGTTGAACTAAAAGGTAGACAAGGACAGGCTCTCTAGGGCCCTTGTAGCGCTTAGGGCTGAAGTTGACTAATCAGTGGTTTTGAGGGTTCCATGGCTCTTTAGCTCCGTATTTAATAGGGATTATCACCATCCCTGGCTCTTTAGCTCCTCCAATATCAATGGTTAGTTGAAATGGTGGGAGCCCAGGATGCTTTGATGAGAGAATAAATCGCAAATCAACGAGAATTAAGGCGATTGCATGAGGATGAAAGTATCCGCCGGGCAGGATATCCACTATGGTATCAGCGTGGCAGGGCTGTGCATCGCACAGTGCGTATATGGGCACTCCCGATGTCCCGAGGGATAGCATAGGCCGCCGATACCAGAGTGCAGAGTGCAGCGCATGGCGGGGCATTGCTGGAGAAATCACAAAAATAAAATAAGTGATCTCGTTGGCGAACGTCGAGCCATTGCTCCTAAAGGCTGAGGGAGCAGCAATGCAAGGAACGGACTTCGTCCGGCATGGAGGCGTTGCATATGCAGTGCAACATGCGCCTGTCCAACAAAACGTCCTCTTCGAGGGCCAGATCTGAGCCGGCTATGCTGGAACAATGCGAGGCCGAAGAGGCCGCGGGCTGTGCGGTGCGTTGTGAAGCCAGCCACGCTGCAGCACGGCGCGATGCAGATGCCTCAGCCTTAGCGCAGGCTGCAGCGACGACGCTGCTGCGCAAGCTGCTGGGAGTGCTGGACCACACGGAGGCAGTGCTGAGCGGACTGTCGTCCGCCCGCCAGACCTGTGGGTGGTTGTCAAAATTAAGGTCCCTTTTTGGCTACCCTAAATAATCGGTGCCGTATCAAAATAGGGACTCAAAAAGGGACCATAATTTCGCAACCACCCATGTGCCTGGAGTTGCCTGTAAACTTCTATGCGGTTTATAAAACCCTACACGGTGAAAGTTGATAAACCGTGGTGACTAAAGGTTAGGATGTCCTTAAGGGGGGGCGGTCCAAGGGGGGTAGGTAACCTAGTAATCCCCATTATTCCCCAATACTCCCTAAGCTTCCCTAAGCTTCCCCAAAGCTCCCTAGTACCCTCCCCCCTTGAACCACCCCCCCTTAAGGATCCTATAAAAACAGCTTGACTAAAGGGGGCCTGCAGCTCTCCGAGGAATTCAGGGCAAGTTGCATCAGGAGCCCGGTGTTGGTCACTGCAGCTGACCTCATGGCACAAGA